ATCATCATAAAAAAAACAAACAAAAAAAAACAATTATATCTCTTTATTTATTCCTTCTCTTTCTAGCTTGTACTTATTTGAACAATGTCTAGAAACTTGGTATTACAAGCACTTCCTGTATCTGTTTGCCTCTTTAAGAAGAATCGCTTTATGTATCCCCCAATTGTAAGTCGCTTTGGATAAAAGCGTCTGCAAAATGACTAAATGTAAATGTAAATGTGATTTTCTGATAAAAGCGTCTGCAAAATGACTAAATGTAAATGTAAATGTGATCGAGACAGTGCGCAACACATCGCCCGCAACGAGGATCATTATGTCTGGACTGCTTCTGACGTACCGATGAGGAAATGAAAGGTTCAGTAGATTATTTGCTCTAAATGAATGGCTAATGTCATGGTGTAATGAACAGAAACTGCTCTTTGTTAATAACTGGAATCTTTTCTGGGAGCGACCTAGGCTCTTCTGTGCTGATGGCCTGCACCGCAGCAGAACAGGAGTGGATCTTCTGTCGGACAACATCTCCAGGACGCTATGCACCGTATGACTAGCAAGTCAAACCTCAAATCACAGTCTTTGTTGTTCTACCAACTTCATCGATAGTTGCGCATGTGTAGTCCATTCGATAGAGACTGTGTCTGTTCCCCGAATAATGAGATCAAATAATAAATCTACTATAGGATCTAAAAAGAAATCTGATTGTGATTAAACCAGAAAATCACAAATTAAGTGAACAACAATTATTTCTAAAGCTTGGGCTCCTAAACATTAGATCACTCACACCTATCGCAGCTATCCAAATGAATTGGCAAATTACAGACCCATTTCAAACCTTCCGTTTATGTCTAAAATATTAGAAAAAGTTGTGTCCACTCAATTGTACTCATTCCTGCAAAAAAATTACATTTATTAAAAATTTCAGTCAGGCCTCATCATAGCACAGAAACTGCACTCGTTAAAATTTACAAATTTGTCTCAATACTAGTTTTACTTGATCTTAGTGCTGCGCTCGACACTATAAACCATGACATACTCTTAGGCCAACAACAAAATTACACTGGTATTCAGGGACAGGCATTACGGTACGTTACCATTTTGTCTACTTAAATGGTGAAAAATCCAAGTTATCATCAGTAAATTATGGTGTGCCACAAGGATCCGTTTTAGGCCCTCTGTTATTTTCAATATGCATGCTGCCACTTGGCAACATTATTAGAAAACATGGAATTAGTTTCCACTGCTATGCCGATGATACTCAGTTATATATTTCATCAAGACCAGATGACATTTCTAAACTATCCAAGTTGACAGAATGTGTTAAATATATAAAACATTGGATGGCCAGTAATTTTCTTCTATTAAATTCAGACAAGACTGAGGTATTACTTATTGGACCAAAAACCTGCACACAGAATCTCTTAGAATACAGTTTGCAACTAGACGGATGTACTGTTATGTCATCATCTGCAGTTAAAGACCTGGGTGTTATATTAGACAGCAACTTATCTTTCGAAAATCATATTTCATATGTTACAAAAACAGCCTTCTTCCACCTCATTGCTACATTGCTCATTGAAACATTGCTAAGCTACAGAACATGTTATCTGTTTCTGACGCAGAAAAGCTAGTTCATGCATTCATGACCTCTCGACTAGATTACTGTAATGCACTACTAGCTGGTTGTCCTGCATCTTCAATAAACAAGCGACATGTAGTCCAAAATACAGCTGCTAGAGTTCTTACCAGGTCAAAAAAATATTATCATATTACCCCAATTTTATCATCTCTACACTGGTTACCTATTAAGTTCCGTATTGCTTTAAAAATATTGCTACTGACCTATAAGGCACTAAATGGTTTAGACACTGTATATTTAACGGATCTTCTTGTGCCCTATAATCCATCATGCTCTTTAAGCTCATGAAACTCTGGACTTTTAGTAGTACCTAGGATATATAAGTCCACTAAAAGAGGGAGAGCATTTTCCCACTGGCTCCTAAACTCTGGAATAGTCTTCCTGATAATGTCCGGGGCTCAGCCTCAAACACACTCTCTCTGTTTAAATCTAGATTAAAGACACATCTCTTCAGCCAAGCATTCGCATAATGAATCTCAATCTCACCCTTGTTCCCAGTTAGATCAGATAAAAGTCACAAACATATTTTTTTTGCTTGAAACGTTATGCACAGCATCTACGCTAATTCTTTTCTGTCTGCCTTTCTGTTCCTACCCCGGGATGCCCATCTCGAGGTAACTAGAGATTACACCAGCGTGGATACAGCCTCATAGAAAGACTTCAGATGACCCAACACCTTTGAAGAGATGATGCTGACCCCTGCAAGGACCCCAGAAGATGCCAACTTGAATCGACATGCACAACTGCCAACATTTCTCTATATTGTAATCATTATGATCACACTTGTAATAATCGCTTTAATGAGCTTCTGCCTGAAATTAATTAATGTAAGCTAACTGTATGATTCTATTATCTTGAACTGTTCATTTGTGAAATGAACATTACTTGGACACATTCACTTCTGCTTTGTAATGTAGACATGTATTTTCTGTAAAGCTGCTTTGAAACAATGTGTAAAGTGCTATACAAATACATTTTAACTGAATTGAATTGAATTAAAATTACGTATAAAATGTACGACTCAGAGAATCTAACTAAAAACACATTTACAAAATAATGCCACCAAATGACGCTGTTGCAGCTGAGGAGGTCTGTTAGCTGCCTCATTCATCTCAGTTGATGATGGTGTAGCACCCGTATGCAGTTTTGCTAGATTGAATGGACGATTTCCAGCCCAAAAGCTCACAAAAACCCGCCCACTCCAACAAAAAAAACCACCCAAATCTTTAACTGTCAAAATAATGTGATAGAATGTCAATCAAGGTTGATAAGAGCCATTTTTAACTCCTTAAAACAAAATAATGACGACAAAATAATATAAATATAACACTATATAAATTTCCCATGGATCAAATCGGGGCAAATACATTAAAGAGAATTACCATATGATTAAAATATGCAAGCAGACACTGTCAAAACGGCAATCAAGAAATGAACCGATACCCTCGAAAAAACACATGCATCATTTTCAAAGTCAACAGTCAGAATTTAAATGCAAAAAAGTGCCCAATATAAGTTATTGGAATAAGGTATTTCACGAGCTCGTTCATGCACACACATGACAGTCAAAAATGTGTCATTCATTGATGCATACTGTATGATAATCCGACAATAATAACAAAAAAAACAACAACAACAATAATGCGCTTACCTTCGTGTCGCTCTATAATTTCACACAGAACTAGAGGAAGTCTTTCGTGAAGTTCATATTGAACATAATACAGAACTTTGCAGTCAAAACTAACAAGTCCAGCAGCTTTCAAGGATATACCAATCTGGACCGTTTAAAAGATAAAGGACAGGATCGTATAGACATAAATAGATTTTGATTAAATAATTTACAGTAACTGTGCTCTGATTTCAGAGTTGCAGTGATATTAAGAGGCTTCCTGTCATCTCTCCCTCAACAGGTGTAGCCTAATTCACATTTTGAGAGTTAAAACACTCTCCACTCTTTACCATGTAACTTATATTTAGGCATTATGATCACTTATACAGTTATAGCAGGGGTGCCCAAACTCGGTCCTGGAGGGCCGGTGTCCTGCAGAGTTTAGCTCCAACCCTAATCAAACACACCTGAAGCAGCTAATCAAGCTCTTACTAGGCATACTAGAAACTTCCAGGCAGGTGTGTTGAGGCAAGTTGGAGCAAAACTCTATAGGACACCGGCCCTCCAGGACCGAGTTTGGACACCCCTGAGTTATACATTCAAAATCAGATCTTATCGTGCTAAAAACCCGCCACTCATGAATCATCACGTCTGCTGATCCCTAGTGATTGGCTAAAAGTGCGGCCGCGACGTCAACATTGCAGTATTAAACACGTATTTATACCGATTTCATCAGGCTCCAAAAATTCTTCAAAAAGAACACAAAGAATGGCCTTCTCAGCTGCCATAGCTGCAACTCTTGCGTCATCAGAACAGGGTGTTTAACGCACCACCGTTTCCGTTTAAAACACGTTTTTGCACCGTTTTGTCGGGGCTGAACGCAGCCCAGCTCCACTGTGCATACGTGTATAGCGTTGTGATGACTGATTGGATGCACACTTGGGCTTGTTTGTTAACCAATTACCCTATACAATTTATATGTTTGAAAACCGCCAAACTGACCCCAAACCAGCCCAAATTTTGTCCATCCGCCCAAGCCAATATTTACCCGCACAATAAATTCAAAACCGCCCAATCTGGCAACACTGCCTGTATGCTATTTGAAACTGGTTGTTTTTGCTCATGGCACCCAGAGAGATCAAGGTTAGCATGGCAATGTTAGCCCCTGCTGTTAAGATTCTGTTACTACACCAAAAACTGGTCACAAATCTTTCAGAAAGGTGAAATGCATCAGCATTAGGCTATTTATAAATTTAAGAGATTACGAAATGTACAGGAGAATTCAAAATCCACTGCTGAAAACAAAAAACAAAATTTATGGTTATGGATGGAAATATGTGAAATAACGTTACTCTATTTCTTCATATGTTGTTTAAATCACAATCTCATTTTATAGGGTGTCAGTACAAATCACAGCTGGTGTTAAGAAAAAACATTTTATTAAACTTTAAATTACGTTTTTATAAGCGGAATAATGGCTGCAAACTACACTGGTAGGCCTACACATTAAATATTAATAAACACACTTTTTAATAAAACCTAACTGAAAACCGCAGTAAACAGCAATATATGATTACCGTAGCCTTAGAAACGCCTGCCTACGTGTGTCTTTATTAAAGTTTAGAGCTTGTAATCGTTAAACGACGTAACGAACCGCACCGAGTCATTTTTAAGCGGTTCTTTGAACCGACCGTTCAAAAGAACCGATTAGCACAAACGAGTCACATGAGCTAAACTGCACCGCCAGTAAACCGTTGCTTTCCTGTTATGGAATGACGTTCCACACGTCAGCGACAGCACACGCTTCAAACTCCATTTGACCGAGCAGCAGTCCAGCGACAATCCTCAATAGGTACTGTTGTATTTTAAGCTATATTCTCAATCCGTTACTCGGTTTTTACTTTGCTATTATGCAATTGCCGATCGACTCGTCCCGTTTTATACAAGACAACAAAGAATAAGACTTAAGCCTGAAGCTAAACTTTCTATCATGCGTGAGAATATCATTGAAAGTGTAATTTGCTCATTTGCACGGTTAATTTAGAGGACAGGAATTCAAATTGAATTTACAGTTTGTTAAACCCCCGACGTTATGTACTATTTATCTGTAATAAAGTTTTCAAACTTGTTAAATTGCAAATGTGATTCATCGTAGCTCATTTGGTCCTGAAGTAATTTTTACACGAGTATAAAAGACACAGCTCTGATACAAAGTGTTTATTTTTTATTACTATATGTTGTACAAACAACACTTACCACAGCCAAATATAAAAATTCCGTCATTTACAGAATCTCTCATGTTGTAAATGTCCTTATCTGTATTTTTTTTTTTTTCAACGGGTGAACTATTCTTTTAACCTCTTTTAGTACAAAACTTGAAACATACACTGATTTCTGATCGATGTATTGCTTCTGTTATGAATTGATACACCAATAACCAATTTTTTCATCCTCAGCCATGTCAACAAAAGAATCAAAGCCAAATCTCAGCCATTCCCAGGTCGCTGAGATTATCAAGCGACTCTATGGCTGGACCGTGTCCGTCATTCGCCCGCTGCCCAGTTATGATGATCAGAACTTTTACGCGGCCCCCAGTGAGGGTGGAGAATATGTGCTGAAGGTTATGAACTCTGCAGACAGTCACAACATCACGCTTATTGAGCTGCAGACTCACGCCATGAACTTCTTACACCAAAGAGGCCTTCCTGCCCAGACCGCTTTGCCCACTTTGACTGGCAAACTCATGAGCTTGGAAGAATTTGGTATGAGTACATGTCAATTATTAATTTAATGAAATATTAAGTCCTAAAATGCAGGTTTTAAATGCCTGTTAAAGGTGAGTAAACAATGACAGATCTCAGAAGGGTGTATACATGGATTTATATTGTAACTCATACTAATTAACACATTTATTGATTTTTTTTTCTTTTTTGTGCTATTACAGATTGTGGTTTTGGCCCGCAGAAATATTTAGTGCGTTTACTTACCTACCTGCCTGGCACTACCGTAGCCAAAATTACCTGCAGTCCTCAGATCTTGTATGATGTTGGGAAAATGGCCGCCACATTGGATACAGTTTTACTGCAAGTAAAATCTTTGATTCCATTTATAAAGGAAAACTTCAGTCCAAAAACACACCAAGAATGGAAACTACAACGATAATATAACGTCCACACCAATGGACAACTTAGAATTACGTATTGTTGTTTTTTATTGTTAGTGTACTAATCTTTTAATGTTCTCGCAGCATGCGTTTTAAAGCCAGATGCATTTTGATTGACTGTTCATGTTTTTTTTTTTTTGTTTATCTGCTGAAAAAAGTATTCCTGTAAAATTATTCTAACTATATTGTAACTATGTCATTATAGTTGTGATGTGGATGATTTAAAAAACTTTATGGTTATAGTTAGGGGTGTGCAATATTCACAAAAATTACTTTCTTTACTTTAATTCTGACTGCATTCTAATAGGCTTCATCACACAGTCAATGCTTTTGGACTCTCAAGATGTGTTTTTGTTTGTGTGTGAAATAGTCAATAATGTCGGCTTGCATATCGTTAAAACAACAGTTACAATATTATCACAGACGATAAATATCGCAAACCCCTAGTTATATTTATTGTTCTTGGTGTGAACAGGCCTTAGACATTTTTTGTCCTTTTTTTCCAAATGTTTCCCACTTTATTTAGGCATTTGTTTGTTTTTAATCTTGTACAGATGGAGCATCCAAACATCAGTGTCCTTCAGAGAGCAGATTTTATATGGAATCTCACCAGCGTTCCACTCTTAAACCAGTATATTCATGTGATGGATGGGGATCCCGTACAAAATGTTGTTAAAGCCGTGATAAAGCAGTACCAGATCCAAGTCGTGCCAAAACTACCATTGTTTCGCAAGTGTAAGATGCTATTTTCATTTCAGTGTCAACACTTCAGTGTCAGCGTGCTTTTTTTTTTTAACATTTTTATTGCGTTGCAGGCATTAACCATGGAGACTTTAACGACCACAATCTCTTGGTGAAACCCGATGGACCCTCAAAGTACCAGATCTCTGGGATTCTTGATTTTGGAGACATGAGCTGTGGGTATTTCATATTTGAGCTGGCCATCACCATCATGTACATGATGATTGAGAATCCCAATCCGGTAGACGTCGGAGGGCCAGTGGTGGCGGGATGGGAAAGCGTTTTTCCTCTCAACGAGGCAGAAAGAGACACGCTCTATTTGTTGGTTCTCTGTCGGTTCTGCCAGTCCCTGGTTTTGGCCCGACACGCTGTGATCCAGCAGCCAGAGAATGAGGAGTACTTGATGATCACCGCCAGAACAGGAGTGCGCCATCTCTGCCGTCTTTGGGAGCTGGGTAAAGAGGAAGTGGAAAGAATATGGTTCCAGAGTGCTGCACAGTTCAGTCAACCTTGAGTTGAGTGACTGCATGCTTAAAAAAATATATGCAATAAACTGGGATGCATTGAAGATATAGTTCAGCCAAAAATTTTTATTTGAACCACAACTTGAAATAATGAAAGTCAATGGGGACTGGGACTGTCAAGCCCCAAAATGTCCCAAAAAATTAAAAAATGATTCAAGTATTATAAAAGTGGTTCAAAAAGTGCACAGTAAGTCATATGATAATGTCAAATGCTGTTGCTACACGACTTCTGGCATCAATTTTGAAACTTTGGTAGATGTTATTGGTGAATAATTAAGTTCAATTAGTTTAATAATAATTGTGTTAATTTTTGGTTTGTTCCTCACAAATCTCTTGTATGGCTTCAGAAGACTCTTGACTATAGTGCACATGTAATATGGATCGCTTTTATGATATTTTCATGGTGCTTTATATGGAAAAGAGCAACCAATACATAATAAAAAAAAATCTCCCATTTTGTCCCACAGAAGATAGAAAGTCATGTTTCTGGAACAAAAAGAGGGTGAGTGAATAATAACACAATATTAATTTTGAAGTAAACTAACACTGGTATGAATGCAACATCTACTTTGATGTCAAAACTAAGTATTAATGAGTTAATGGGCATGAGATGCAATTTGGCTACAGCAAGAATATCTCAAGAATTAATGTATGATTATACTCGATGATCCTTAATTTTTTTTTAAAGTTGCACAAAATTAATTACTATCACTAATACCAAGAGTGCCATCATTTCTTTAACAAAGCAGCAGAAGGGTTTTTAATAGTGGAAAGTTCATTCAGGAGGTCTTAAATCATCATAATTTTGTCATCCATTGAGGAAGTGATTGTATTGTTTGTTTAATGCATTTTGCATCTTTAATCTTATTTGGTGCTTTTATTCCATTCCATTTATTCCAAGAGTTAAGAACCCAAATAAACATATTTTCTATGGAACAGGAAGATTTTAAACTTGCACAATTCATAGATTATGTATTATGGATGTACTTTGTCATAGTGATGGAATGTGTTGAAAGGCCCCATAAACTTTTATAGGCTGCCAAGTCTGATTTTACAGCATATGTTATGAATAAACAAACTGCTGACTGCAGCTTTTTATCTGGTTTATCAAAGGTCTTTTTTACTGCACGGATCAGGTATTATTTAATGGTCATAGTTTAGTTAATGCTGAAAAGTAGACCTTACAAGCAAAACATTAACCACAAAGAGCAACAACAACAAAATATTTGGAATCTGGCTGACTAATGAAATTAGAAGACCTAAAGTGTGTTAATGACCGATTAATACAGAAACATGATCATAAAGGCCTTAAAGCCTTCAAAGATATTTTATTTGGTTTTACGGGATACTAAAATGTACCACATTGTAAGTTGCTTTGGATAAAAATGTCTGGTGCCAAATCTATATATAAAAAAAAAATCAAATGTCAACCAATCAAGCGTACAAAAACAAACAAACAAGCGCATTCAAATGAAATATGGTATGCCAAACATCACAGATGTGATTGTCCAGATGTTGGTCCATGTTAAAAAAGACTTTTCTCTTCAAATAGAGAAGTCATTTTGTTTAATATCATGCTGCTCATATGCTTAATATCATTATGATCAGATGCTAAGAAGAACTTCACAAGCAACAATCCTTCAGTAAAAGCAAACATATGGGTTAGAGTATACAGTTATTCTCTCTACTGTGCAACAATGTAATTCATTTTCACATCCTGTTACCTCTATTTGTACAGTATTTGTGATAAAGTGCACCTATTGTCTCTCAGTTGTGCCGAAGAACCTGGTGATCACTGGTGACGTCTGCTCTATGTTCTCCTGTTGTTTGCTTGCCTTTGAACTGAATAGTGAGCAGATGGCATGGAGGAAACATACATGTACAGCCATATCACATAACAGATCATATACACATGAATGAATGAATGAGAACTGGGCTTAAATTTCACTGATGGTGTTTAATTTTGTTATTTTGATGCGCAGACCGACTGTGCCTTATATTAGCCTGTGAGTGCAGTTTATATAGATGTGTGTGTGCGTGTATTCAAACCAGGGATCAATGACTCAATTGAAAACATGCAAGATTTGCATTGGATATTTCATTAAAGAGTCCGATTTTGAAGACTATTTTATTTTATATAGTGGTTTTATTTTGTGTTATCCATGAAAAATAAGGCCTATTCACCATACAAATTTAAGTAATACCAATGCTGAATCTATCAAAGCTTTTCTCAAATTGATCAAAGCTTAACATTTGGTTTTACTCTAGAACTTAAAATCCAGGCTCGTAGCAACAAGGAGAAATGAAATGATGTCTGAAAAAGTACTTTTTCAATAAGTTCATATATGAACTTTGCTGAATGTTTTAATATAGTTAGCTAATCATGTATTACGGTTACATAAAGTGCTACTCATTTGGGACTAGAATGCATATTTCATAACTGCAGTATGCTTGTTTTACCATTAGATAGTGCTGCTACCACATAGAAAGCTTACAATGAATCCATGAGACCGTTTCACACACATTAGGAAGGATCATATACTCTTATTATCAGTGTTGGCTTGCTGTGATACAGTTTTCCTTTGGGGTGTTTTGTATTTTAATGTGTATCAGTTAATAGATATTGTGAGTAGTAGGCCCTATGATATTTTTTCTATTTTATCTATCCAGGTCATTTGGGCCTGGTTTTACAGACAGGGCTTAGACTAAGCCAGGATTAGGCCATAATTCATTTAGGACATTTAAGTAATTTTTATAAACATGCCTTAGAGAAAAACATTACTGGTGTGCATCTTGAGACAAAACAAGGGCACTGACATATTTTAAGATCAATCAGTGCAAGTTTCTTTCAGTTGAAACAGCTCAGATTTACATTTTAGTCTGGGACTAGGTTTAAGCCTTGTCTGTGAAACCGGGGGTTGGTCAGTTATAAATTCGATGTGTAAGTGTTACTTATATAAACAGGTTGCGATGATGGGATGTCAATTGATTACTTCTTCTGTTCCAAGTATCCGTACCTACTGCACGGCCAAATCAAAACCTCATATTCAGACCAACAGCACAATTGCTTTTAGAAAACGGTTTAGGGCCGTTCACACCAAGAACGATAACTATAAAGATAACTATATTAGTGTCCACACCAGCGAACGATATCGTCTGTTTATTCCAAGCGCACGCGCGTCTGCCGCTTTAAATTCTCGAGCTCGTGACAGCAGGATTGATTCTGATTGGCTGT